CTTTTCGACGATTTCACTTCATTTTTGCTCCCTTTTTTTGTAAAATCACTTTAATGCGGGATGTACGATGTCATCAAAATCTTATGCGAATTATATTCTTCCCAGGCACTGTTTGAATGGTGCGCAGTTTGGTAAAATCCATAAAATTGTGAAACAAATCCCAAAACTGTTTACTTTTATAAATACACGAATAAAAATCATTCATTTTATTGTGTAAATTCGTTGTTATTGTTCAATTCACTGCGCAGAAGCTGCATTGCAAATGAAGACGCCTAAAACGATGCGCTCATAGCTGACGAAATCTCTAATGAGTCTCATTGTAATGCATTTTTTTTGCTACAGTTTGTTTCACTGCAATTTTTTTTTCTGAAAATGTTTACGAATATTTTATTTACATTCTTAAATTTTTGCACATTTCTTTTTTTAATTCGATATATACATATGTTGGAAGAATTTACTCAAATATTACAATCACTTTGAAAAATTAATAAAACAAACATCGATGGAAAACATGTATAATGAATTGCACTTGTTCCCTCTTGTAATGCTGTCAGCATTATACTGTTATTCTAGAAGTTCATTGGGAAAAGAGTGTTCAAAAGTCTGAGTTAATTTAAAAGCAATTGTAAAATGAGGCTGAGCCGAACAACATACGATTCTTGAGAGTGTAGAACACAAGTATACAATAAAACGATAAACAAATTGCATCAACTTAAGCTCAAATGCAATAGCAATTAGAATTTTCAAATGAAGAGCGCAGAGTATTAAAATTTCGGGTTCAAGTGTTGTTATTGTTACATATATCGGCAAGGAAATTGAATCAATTCCATGAACAGGAGAAAGAGAGAGAGAGCGAGAAGAGAATGATAAAGAAAGGGCAGACAAAATAGTGTTGTACGTTTAATATAATATTTTTGTTATATCATATTTTCGATATTCGTATTTATCTCTCCGTATTCATTTCGGCGATCTGTTTTTTTTTTTTGTTAAATCCCCGATTTATTTAAATCCGTTCCGTTCAATTATTATAATCTGGTATATTTAGTGTTGTTGCTGTTGTTGTTTGTTAGTTTGTTGTTGTTTGTTAGTTTGTTGTTGTTTTGTTGTATTCGGCCCGTTGAATTCATACTTAACCGACAATCATTTCATATCCTTGTGAAATGCGAAGGTCGTGCTCATGAGCCGAGAAGAAAATTGCTACCGTTTCTGTTGCTGCTGTTCGTTGTTATTCGGAAGAGAGTTGCAAAGAGGATAAAATACAAATATTAATACTTTTATTAAATATATAATTAATTCATTGAAGCGCAAAAAAAGAGAGCATGCACAGTAGCTGTTGTGGCAGTTCATCGAATTGCATATGGCAACCGAATGGGCCCATTTCAAACGACAAGCAGCCGTGTCAGCACTAGGGCTGAAACAAGAAAAAAAAAACGTCCGAATATAGAACAATGGGTGGAAATATGTGTGATGATCATAGCGCGTCATCTTTGTGTGTACCATCATCATCAACATCAAATTATGTTTATCTTGTTACAAAACGAACAACGATGACAGAAAATCATATTTAACCAACTGAACGCATATCCCATGTCCTGACAATGTGAGTGGATCTTTGTTGTTTTTTTTTCGTTCGACAGCTACGGCAGCAGCATGTCGATTTTCACTGACAAGTGAGAGAAAAATGGTTAAAACACAACATATCGGTAATAGCAATGGCATTGTACGCAGTACGAATAGACACCCTTTGCAACAATCAACATTAGAGAGTTTTGGAATGAGCGAAAATGAGAAAAGAGACCAATATTCATCTTCACATTTCTCGTGCGATAAGCGCATTCACTTTGCTTGCCGATTGCACGGTGCATGATGCACGCATACATTGTATAAGCACTGGGGTCTCCCAACGGTGTTATATTGCGATATGAAAGTCGAGATAAGATAGAAACATGAAAGAGGGAAACATTCATACACCCTTGCATGCTCTATTTGCACTAGTTTTTTTTTATTTATCCTTTCAAATCGAAGTATTTTTTTTCTTTTTCTCGCTCGTGTGCGGCTGAAGAAAGGAACACTACCTTTAGCAGAAAATCCACTGTTGTTACACATGCATACGACGAGAGAAGGAGATAAAAATCATATTATACGGTTTCAACAATTTTTTTTTTTGATTTTCGAAGAGCACATGCTTTTTTATGAGAAACATTTTCGGTGATGTTGTCCGCCTTATGTGCATCTACATATGTTCGAACCACAATAGAATCATAATATTGACTGCATTGTTGGCTGAAATTGCACTCTATGAAATGGCAACAAAAATACAATGATTATTGACTTCATCGATATAATCAAACAACAAAATCTGTGAGATTGTACGCATTATGCTCGATTTTTATCAAATCGACCCATTTCATTCAATATGCATCGCATTTTACGACCGGATGCAATCTCATTTTAATGGACACTTATTTTTTGTGCAACCAGTGCTCGAAAATTTCATCGAATTTTAATTTTGTTTGTGAGAGACATATCCAAATACACCGGAAAAAATGATTAGAATCAGATCTCTTGAAGTAAATCCACAAGAAAGTTTTCGTTCATCATATATTCAGAGACAAAACTTCAAGACATTTTTCACCGCGATGAATCCGCAGCGTTTTCCAAATCATAGTGGTAAAATTGCTGTTGTGGTAACGCCAATTCTTCTGCTCCACTCATTTCGAATTGAGTAATTGATGAAACCGAATCTTAAACGATAAACACACCGTACACCTTGGCAAAAACCCTATGATATTTGATCGCTCATTTCATGTTTTAATAATATATTTATGTTGTTTGATATATGTATTCATGGACAGATTAAGTTTTAAATGGAGTTGGCGTCTTTCAACAAATGTTCAAGCGAGAAATGTCTCGAAGTGTCTCGGTCTCAATTCGATTAAACAAAGTAACAAAAAAAAAACCGTAAATGGTTTGAGAAAATCCACAAATAAAATGGCATTGAAAGGATTTGAAAAGGCTTTTAAAATGAATAGAATCAAAGGAGTTTTCACTTTCATTTGTTTGTTTCGTTCTTGCTGTCAAAGTGCGTATTTTTTCGGTTCTCTTCGAAGTTTTGTACCAAAGTGGTAAATCTAGCGGAAAATCGCAATCAAAAACTTTGTACGAATGTTTAGGCGGAATAACATTTTTTTCTCTTTTTCATTCGAATTCGGTCGAAAATAGATTCGTAATTGTCGTTAAATCATCAAAAGTTTAATTTAAATTCATTGAAAGAAAAAGACCACACGAAGCGTATTATTCATGAGCATTTCAATATAAAGAGACAGAAGCAATTCAAATTCGCGTGAAAATGTAAAAGACAACGGCAAAGATAAAGGGAACGAAGAGATTTGGTTCATATGCTTTTGATGTTGATCAGCGACAACACGGTGACAAAATGAAATCGAATCGCAAAACCAATTATGTGTAGTTAATAGAGATTGTTCATGTTAAATGCATTAAAACCAGAAAATGGGAGATAGAGAGAGAGAAACACATCGGAGATACAAATCTCACTTTCATATCTTATGATTTGATCTCTTTAACACAAGGGAACATAGAAAAATTGTGAAATCAGGAGAGATATACACTTGTTTCACATCTTGTAGTTTTAAATATTTTGATTGCATGCGTTGATGTGTCAGGACAATGATGAAAAGAAGAGCAACAATAACGAAAAAAGACAACAAAAACAAGAAACCGAATGGCAATTGACCCCAAAAACTAAAAACGAACCGAAACAAAAACACTCATTTTATTTATTCTTCCAGTGTGTGTGTGTGTGTGTGTGATCATCAATCTGACACTTTTACGTTTGCTTCCACATTTCCATTGTCATTCACCGATATTTGTTCACATTATTACAACATTATTTATTCAATTCGTCATATATTATGGTCTGTTTGATTCGTATATTCACACACAAAGCCATACACGCATACACAATTGTCTACGGTCCCTTTTTTTGCGCATCACTTGAATATATAATATGTCTCAATTTGGTAAGTGAGAGAAATCTGTCGAATGCGAAAAATTGAATGACTGGAAAAAGAGTCAAAATCCGAATGAAGTACACAAAAAAAAACCATACACCCAAAAGATAGAATTAAGTGATAGGCTGTGACGAATGCCAAACAATGGAATAACACACAGTAGCATAATATAATATTAGAAAAAAGGACATGTATACACATTTTGCACACAGCCCATTTTAATGTGAATGGAAATGGAGAGAGAGAAAAGAGACAAAGTGCAAAAGTGTTTTTATTAAATCGCGTCCAGAAAACTAAATGCGAAACGCATTTAACGATACATTTCGTATTTCTCTATTTGAATTTCATGTTGTGAATTGAAGCGTAACTTTGAGACGAACGAAATACCGTGCAAAATTCACAACGAATTGGAGTTTTATCTTCCTATTCTTAGTTTCGCTTTTCAGTTATGTCCGTTCATTGAAAAACTCTTGCGATATTCTGATTTTCATTCTACATACGATTGCGAAAAAAGACCAACGATCAAACATGTAAGACAGAGTATATTATAATGAAATTAAATTTGCCAATCGGAAGTTAACAGCACACTTACATACAGAATTGCACACACTTTTGATTTTAAATCCGATCGCTCATTGTGCGCACTCGTTGAATACCAATAAGACGAGCGCGATACAATTTGTTCTTGAGCATGTGTCACACCGGAAAGGAGCTACTACATTCTGTTCTTCAACACGTGCGATATTATTTATTTCCGGCTGAAACGAATTCAAATCCGATTTATTTCAACGAAATATTATTAAATGTCTATTTAAACACTAGACTTTGCGATAACATTTTTTTTCCTTTGGCATGATGCAAAACTTTAAAAAAAACATTCAGCATAGGAAATAATCCATTTCAGCACACTATCTAATTGAAATAAATGAAAATTGTTGACGCATTTGTATTTCTTCGCATTTTTTTTAGGTGTCTTCAATTAATCGTGTCCTTCGCAATTTAGCCGCACAAAAAGAGCAACAACATCAACAGGGCTCCAGTTCATCACTGCATCATAACAACACTTCGCATACACATCATCATTCTCAAAGTAAGTCATCGCCAAATTTAATTAGAAGAAATATAATTTGATTCTCGTCTTTAAATCTCATATTTAAATTCCAAAAAGATTTCTGACAAAAAAAAATTATCCAAAAAATTTAAATCCAAAAAATTTGACACAGTTTAAATGAAATCAAAATAGTTTCGTTAAATAGTTTTTCTTTTGTTTTACTATTTTTTCATGCCATCACTTTTTTTCAGGGATTGTTCCTCTGAGGAGGAGGAATGGTAAGGAGGAAAATGAGGAAGAGGAAGAGAGCGAGGAGGATCCTCCTCCTCCAGTGAGGAGGAAAAGTTTTTTTTTTGCGCAAAGGGCTATTTTTATATCAAAAATATCATTTTTAGCTAAAAACATTTTCCTCCTCGATCTCCTCCTCCTCCTCACCATTTCTACTCCTCAAAGGAAAAATCCCTGTTTTTGCCTGCGAAAGTTTTTTTTAAAAGCTTCCAAAATATGCAACTGACCTAAATTCAAATTCGTTTTTTAAGCTTATGCAAAATGGGCAAAATAATTGTATGAATAAATGAATAGATTTTTGTTTGATGTACATCACTCTTCATCAACATTGTGCATTTCAATTAAATTCGCGACTCGAGAATAATTAGGCCAGTGCAAGAACTTCGCGTTATTCATTGAAAATGTTTGGAATTTTCGTTAAATTCTCTCTTATTTTTCAGCTTCTGTACATCAACAATCGCCAATAATCGATCGTGTTGCCGCATCAACGCCACCAACATTGAGCAATTTATCAAGCGATTCGGCTTACGATAAATTTCGTTTGCTAAACGGACATCATGTGAGTTTATCATCGGATGATTTTTTTGTTCGTTCTCTTTCTCTTTTTTTTGAAATGAATAAATGATGAAAATCATTTCGATTTAGCATCATCATTTGACATCGCCACATCATTCGGGCGGTAGTGGTAGCGTGGCGAGTAATGGTACAAGCAATACAGCATCTTGGCCACGAACACCAACGGCATGGTATCCAAGTGCTGGTGCAACAACGCCTATGTCGTTCGGACTACAACCGCTCAGTCCATCGGATGGTGCCGGCATTGCAAGCGGCGGAACATGCACCGTTCTTGGTGAGGATATCGCATCAAAAAAAGGTTTGTCATTAATTTCATAAATCTTATGTCATAAATTACGATTTATCCACATTACAAATTGATTTGCAACTCAAACAAACGAAAATTGCGAAAAACGAAAAAAAAAAAATATGATTTCGGATTTGAATGTGTATTCAATCGATAACATTTGTATTTGTTTTTTATTTGAAATGGTCTGACGTTAAAGAAAATTGACAAAATCTTTGGTGTTTTATATTTGTTATCCCTTTATTGCTATCACAATCTAAATCCTTGTAAGATTGAATGACCATTCATAATGGCTATTTTCAATAATGAAACAATGAAGAATCGTGCACAAGGTCAACTCTTTTCAACAATTCTACTTTATCCACAAACAATGGACACTAGTCTATTCGTTTCGTGTAGGAAGTGTTTGCGCGTGTTCGTTATTAAAGGGGGTAATTGATTCGGCACATCGAAACATTTGCTGAGAGTAAGAAAAAAGAGGAAGAAAAAGATATTCCAAATAATCCAACAAATAAAATTGAAATGTCCGTTCAAATTGAGTGTATATGCGTAAAATTGGCATTAGTGAAAAGTATTCCATTTTATTTATATATAAAAAAAACAAAATTGATAGAAATTTCAATGTAGCGACACACACACATGTGTGTGCCAATAAATCCTTACGTTCAACGTACTCGGAGCAGCTGATAAAGTAGCTCTATTGTACGCTTTATCAAATGTACAATAAATAAAGCGGCAACAAAACAAATTCATGAACAAATGATCGGCCTAAAAGTCGATGGCATTTTTATTTTAAAAGCCAAAGCGTGAAGTGAAACACGAAGAATGACAAAAAAGGAGCAACACCATCACAAATCATCAAACCATAAATTATGAACAATTGACACGATCGTAATACATGACACATCTTCTAAAAACTCTCAAACAGAAATTTATCTAATAATAAATGGCAATCATAATACAGCAGCAGCAGCATCAGCATCAGCAGTGGCGGCAACAGCAACGCGACACTGGCAATTCACCCCGTGGCACAATAGTCGAACTGACGATTGAATCGAATAACAGTAATAATGGTTCTTGTAACAATGGAATGGAATATAAATAATAATAACATAGAAATGCATGTTCATAACCAATAACCATGTGTATTTTACGGTGAACATTCATAAGTGGCCCTAAATGTGGTGTATTGTACATTGGATTTGGGAATGTCGTACATTCATGCCAGAAAGATCTGACTGCGCAAAACTACAACTATTATTGAGAGAGAGAGAGATTGGTTGGGTCTTTGTGCGGCATATAACGACTGTGCAAATTAAACGGCACTTTAAATTGTTAACGGTATATCATCGATTTGGGACTGTCTTTTCTCGTACAAAAAATTGACGCTCACTTTACCCTGTTCGGGGTTGGCGCTGCTTATTTTGATATTCCTTCTATTTTCAATTTGAAATCGTAATTGAAACGACATATTCCCATATTATACAATTTTCGTTTGGGCTGTTTTGCATTCAACACACACATATACAAACACAAAAAAAATAACACCAACCGTGTTTGGCTCTCTTTCAGTTTGAATCCTACTGTTCTCTTTCTTTGAAACCATTGTTTCACTCTTTAGTAAAAAAGCAAAATATTGTCGACTATTTCTCGGTCGCATACTGATTTCGTCAGCCGCATCATCATAAGCGTGTAATCATATGTGATGACATTTTTGCGCCCAGTTTTTCATTTCTTTTAACAGAGTTCTGATTATTTCAATCGGGCACAGACACAGATGACAATCACAAGAGCAAAAAGGACATAAATATTGAATAATCAATACACAGCGCCAGATACACCAATGAAATTGCCATTTGGAAGTATCACAACACGAGCTTAATTCTCTCTTTTGCTCATTCAATCTCCTTTTTTTTCACTTCGCATTCAGGCGCACTAGAACAATGCAACACGAAAACGTTTCATTGATGAAGAAAATAAAACACACTCACATCGTCATTCAATGGAAACGGAATCAAATGAAAATGAAAATCGAAAAATACAAATTGAAAGTGAGTGTATGACATCTCATTATGTGCATTAAATAATTTAATGGTACCTTTTTTCGGATTGTCGTTTGTCCTGCGCTTCGACTAAGGCAACAAACAATAAATAAATGTTCAGGGAACAAAAAGTGCACACATATAAATTGTTTGCACCGAGAATGAGAGAGAGAGGGGTAGAAAGAGAACGACTGTATGTCTGATCTAGTCTCTCTGGTTACCGTGGCTGTATGCTAGTTGTGTCATCAATTCAGTACCTCAAAAAGCTGCACAGATTTACCTCCTCAAACACATTTGATTCCCTCCATTCCATGTGTGTTCTCTCTTGTTCGGGACTTTTTTTGAGTTTGGTGTTTTGATCTTTTGCTACTTAACAAATCTTTTATATATATCGATCACAATTTATAGCCGAAAAATCACCCAACGAACCCAAATGTTTATTTTTGTGCATCTCACTCGCTCTTCGCTCACTAGCTGCGTTTCCATTCACCTTTTTTTCGGAAAAATTCAAAGCATTCAATATGTTCTCTATGTGTGAATGGTCGATAAAATTTATTAGTGCAACACTTATGGTCGATTAGCTTAGAGTAACATACTGCTTATAGTATTGAATGGCCGTTGACAATTCAAGCATTCAATCATTTTATTAAGAGATTTGTAACTATTTGTTTTGTATTTGTGCTCGTCATATAGATTGTTGAACGGTGAAGATAGAGAATGACACACAGAGACAGAAAGAGAGCGATAGAACGAAGAGTGCCAAAAGAAGAAGCACAATAACAAACACACTGTTGAAATGAAAATAGACTTGCAGCATTTCATTGGAATTGGCTGTGAAAATAACAAAGTCAAGAGAAAAAAGGCATCAATCATTTCAAAAACAACATGCGATGCCATGTAAGAGGAATGGAAAATCCGAAAACAGTAGAGCTTCAAGATTTCGATAATCGACAATCATCCGAAATGGTGTGTAATAATGAAGAGCCAGAGCTCCTGTAAAAATACAATGAAACCCAAGAAAAATGGAACACATTTCATGAAAAATGATTCAAACAATGGGCCATTGAATTTTTACTTGTCTTTTTGCTTATATAGCTATTTTACGCTGAATGGTGCCATTGTTTCTTGATTTCTCTCTTTCACCCATTTATCTTATCGATACCAAATTAGGTGATGATCATAAGCACTTAAAATCGATCTTTGCGTTATTGTCAAAAAAAAAATCATTATTTTGCGGTTTTCTTTTACAATTTTTGCAGCAATTCGAACATGTTCACGCTGTGAAATCAATTGATTGAAGTGTGGTTAAATGCTCTTCGGCCGATGGACTCGATGAATGTACGATGAAAAATGCTTGTGTTTTCATTCTCTTGATACTGTGAAAATAACTTAATAAACTCACACTTTTTTCCGTATTTTTGTTATTGAATCACCAACTTCCGTATTGCATTCAGTCATGCAAGTGCGTGCTATTCGCCATCACCAGCCCCGTTGTCCGAAACAATTGCTAGCTGTGTTTTTTTTTATTTGCGTTCGCATAATAAATTTGTATTCATAATAATTGCAACAACATATCTCTCTCTGTGTCTATATGTGATATGCTCATAATTTATGCTCAAGCAAACCGTATGCGATAAGCAACATGATAAATAATTGTTTGTTTTTTGTTTATCGAAGCTGAAACATTTGATCGTTTGTAATGATTGTTATATTAAGTGCGGAACGACTCTTACCATCCAAACATATTCGCATCCATTTATGATTGCGAGAGTAATTGTGAAGGAGTCGGACAGAAAGAGAGAGAGAGTCTCTCGATAAGAGACAATGGGCAAAGTTTTTGCGTAAATGTAAAGCATAAACCGACGAGCACATCATTCACAATAACAATAATGGCAAAAAGTGACAACAAATTTAATTGCTTTGGTGATTTGTATGGTCATGATGTAAATGTTTTGTTTGGATGTGTAGTAGTGTCATTGTGGAATGAGAATGGTTCCGGATTACATATTGCGAAAAACAATTGACTCTTTGGCTATCCCTCGCCATGGCACGTTTGCAGAAAAACTGTACAAAACACTTAGTACAGCGCGATACAGTACAAAACAACACATCAGGGGCGCCCTCGCCACTTGATGTTGCTGCTCATAACGATAAATGTCAATAAAGGATTACACAACAGAAAATAGCACTCTTACCAGGCGATTTCGTGCGGGCATCAATTATAATAGTATAATTGTAGAATGTGATATGATATCGAAATGTGTGCGTGTTTGGCGCTCGCATTTGATTCGTTGAAAAAGTGCGAATGAATAAAAAAAAAACAACAACAGCCGAAAAAATATGCAGTCCCTCTTCCGCTCTTCATAACAAATAACAATCAAACTGCTACTTATATGTATTCCTCTTTTGGACCGGGAATATTGCTTTGTTTGTTCTCGTTATTGTTCACGTATTTAGTTTATTTATTACAATATTTCAATTACATTATTAAATATTGTACGAATACATTTAATAAAGCAAAATCCAGTGACACCGATGTCAAGCATTCAATTTATAAATCGACGATATGTAATGTTTAGGGTGCATATATGCATATGCCATTTGAGACTGACTCCGCAACACAACAACAAAAATTGAAAATGTAAAGTTGAAAGTTATATTTTATGTGTAATCCCTCTTCGTTAAGTGAAGTGACTATGGAAGCGAACAAACACTCTAGAGTGTTATAAAGAATGAAGTGCTCTTAATCACATACAACAAAGTTAATTCGCATCGTCAACACAGTCATTAGCACGACCGAAGTGCGAACAAGGTTCTCAAGAAAAAACGTATTGACTTTGCTTCTTTTTCTCTCTCTCTCAATCTCTTTCTTTAAATAGGAATTATGAAAAATTAATAAAAGAAACATTCAAGTCAAAAGTATTCAACGAAAAAAGAGAGAGAGAACGCATTTTCAACTGTTTGTATGTC